AGAGATCGCGAGGAAGAGAAACGGCGCGAGGGGATGAGTGGCCCGAAGGCGGGGAGTCGCGCAGATCAAGCGGATAAAAACTACGCCGCCGGAAGACTTAACGGGCGTGTTGCAACGGGTAAGCTCGGATGATAAAATCTCGTCGGCTTCCCGACGCTTTTCAAGCACAGACATCAGTATTTGTGTAACTGTTCCCGCGAATACGTCAACCGCGAGGTCACGGGAGCTTCCTTTGTCTTCGAACGACCGAAACTATGTGACACGTAAAAATCGACGTCTTCGCGGTGGGATGATGAAGCGGCCGAAGAGGCAAACACGCGCGCCGAAGAAAAAAAGAAATTCGCGACAGTCCGCGAAACGAAGATTCGAAAGTGACGGGGACAACAAATGGGCGCGTCTCCTCTGCACGGGAGGGGGCCGTCACTTCTGACAGTCGGCGCCGCATCCTCTGCTTCGACAATCGAATTCGTCTTCCCCGCCGATCGGGAAGAAACAAAAGCACGAATATATCCCGTTTCGCGAAGGTAAAAGAAACTACGCCTTCCCTTTTAATTGGTTCCACCACTCCTTGGCCGAACAAACCGACTGACAATCACGCCGAGTTCTCGAACCACGACGCGATGAATGTCAATTCATCTCTCGACAAGAGGGTTTTTTTCAGCCCGGAATAATGTCGGCATTGTTCTCGGAGAAATATGCATTTCGCGATTCAAAACTAGACTAGATGCGAAATGTTCTAAACGGAATTATTACGCGTTTAAATATTTTAAACAATACAATTCTGGAGAAACTAGTTAATCAGGCTTTCTCTAGTAAATGACGTCCCCGGCGATGCGGTTCGCGAAAGCAGAAAGCCCAGAAGGAGCGCTCGGTTGGATCTTGTCGCGACGAAAACAAAAAAAAAAAGATCACAAAGAGATCGCGAAGCGGAATATAAGAGCCGAGAGATAACAGAACGTGGTAGCCATTGTCCCTCTCGCGGACAATGCAAGGCTGTTGGATCGTACCGAGAGCAATCTACATCTTCAGCGATGTATTATACGACCTCCTCTTCGTATTCCTCTTCGAGGCACGCAACGTAACGCGCGCGCGCGCGTGTGTGTGTGTGCGCGCGCGCGCGCGTACACGTGCGTGTTAGGCGTATCAAGCTGCGAATATTGAGATATCTCCGCCGTTGGTCCGGGAGTAACAAATCTTCCGTGATGCGATGCGCGTCTCTCAAAAGGAACAGCACGAGAGAACGAGAGTCTCTCGGCGGGAAAAAAGTAAAGTCGGATTGCGCGTGACAGTAAAATATGTTTCGATTGTAATTCGATTCCGCGAAGCTTTTTGCACCTTTCTCGAAGAGACGGTGTCTACTGACGATCGATTATTCGGTAACCACGCCTCGAAGATCGCGGAATGTTTTGATTTCAAGAATCGCGAGACTCGAAAGTGAAGAAATCGATTTGATAGGAAGATACCACACCACCTACTTTCCGTACACGGGAATTCCAGATCCGTGCGAACAACACCTGGAAGTGCGTGCGTGCGTGCGTCCGTGCGCGCATGATGGTGCAGCTGATAATATTGTTTCGCATGGTGTGTTTGCGCGACGATTTGTAATGCCTTCCTGCCCTGCTGTCGCTTTTATGTCATCTTCATTCGCTCTCGAGGGCAATGGATTATTGCAAAGGAAGAATCTAAGAGAGTCGTACTAGGATTTACACGTATGACATATAGAACTATCTTGAGACTTCATGGCAATAAGTTGCTTCTCGAATGTTATATTGTAAGACAAGATGAGATTTTAATCCGATTAAACGCAAAAAATTATTTTTATGACATAAATTTTAATTTTTAAATTAAATATAATTTTGTGTGTAATTTGGATGATGAAAGATCGTTACGATTTAACTTCATGTATACGCATTTTTTTGCAACGAAGTTTCAAAAATTATGTACATTTGTCACTCGTTTTGATAATTTATTTATTATTTATGTTTGATATAAATTTATGAAGCCGCACCGAGAGACACGTACGGAAAGGATAATGAAGATACATTGTTCGAATCCTTCTTGTCGAGATATCAAGCAACCGCAATCGCGATTCAGAGAAGGCTTTAACGTCGCGGCTGGTCGTTACACGTACTGACAGTCGACACACAGACGGTGCAATTTAACGAGCGTCGGTCGAGTGGATTCGACTCATTACATCGGCGTGTTGTTTAATAGCGAGTTGATGCAATCCGCGGCATATTGCGCGCTACCGATTTATTAATCCGCATTTTTTCACAACCGCGCGCACAACACACACCCACGAAGCGCGCAACATTCATCAGTCGCGAAAGAAAGCCGTGCGCGCACGAGCGCTATCAGAGATCGCCCCGGTAAGAAAACGCAATAGCGTCGTAATTGCTCTCGTACGTCAATGACACTGGCAGATCTTGCGTGCCACTCCTTCCTCTTCATTATATACGCGGCGCGAACAATCTTAAGCCTCGCATACGTGGCCGCACAATACGACGGATGCAATATCACATCCGATATCCGCGATGCGATAACGCACATTGTAATTCCGAGTGTGTAATAATGAAACACACGCAGGAAGTGTACGAATCGAATATGTTTGAGTCAAATATGCGTGAATTTATTTCCTAATCAAATTTGTTTATTTCTAATTCGTCAGCGTAACATTACTGTCTCGATAGTAAAATCCCATGAATGTGAGAGTTCTCGCTTATTTTTAAAGTACACAAATTCTTAAAATAAAAAAAAAATTCCTTTCCATCAACAGTCGGAAAATGTAATTTAAAAACTTCAATTCAATTCCTTTTGCACGTCGCGGAGCGAGTGCCGATCAGCAAAAACCACCGCCGTTATCTCCTCATAGCGTGACATCCGAGAAACGCGAGAGATTAAAAGCGCGACTCCGATTTTTTTCTTTTATCTCGCACAGAATACGTCACGAATGGGCTTGAAATATTCCGTACGATTCAGAAAGAGAGAGAAAGAAAGAAATATATCTCGCGGCGATTGTGATCCAGATCTAATTTCTGGAGGAGCAACGGCTCCTTGCGACGACGGGGCGGACGCGAAAGGAACTTCTCTCATTACGCGACGCGCAACTCGAAGAGAGAGAGAGAAATCCGCAGGAGCCAACAACGACAATTACAAAGACCGGTGCATAATACGTGCGCAGCGAGCCACTGGCGATGCTGCGGGTCCGTCGTGCAAAATCCTGAATGCCCAAGTATCCTCTTTCCTCGAACCTCTTAGCGCTATTTAGCGGATCCTTTTACGGGACAGAGCCGGGCCCCCGACAAGAAAGGAAGACACGACGTACGGCTCGACGAAGGTTCGAGGCAAGAAGAGACGAAAAAGACGAGAAGGAGCTCAAGAACACGAGGGCGAGGAGGAACAAGACGAAGGAGGAGAAGGCGGAGGTGGAGTACCAAAATGGCGGAGTTAAAGCCGGAGGGACAAGATAAGCCTTTGTGCCCGCACGGGGGCCCGTGCGGGCCCCGGGCAACGGATCCCGTCGTCCCGGTCTCATATTTCGCGAATCCCGCTATCATATTTTACTGCTCGTCCCACTCTCCCCCGCCTTCCCTCCTCGCTCATCCTCCCCCCTCCGGTCGAGGAGGCTCATTCGAGAGGGCCCGGAGAGTCCTTCTCATTTTTTGTTATCTACACGCTTTTTGCAAACTCTCCGATTCCCTCTGTCTGATTGAGGGATTCCGGTCCGTTCTCCAATACAATGAACGCATAACTCGCGCACTTCTAATTCTCTGAACGAAAGTACATTATGTATGCGCTGAAATCCAATCTCAAGTTTAATTACTCGAGAGAATCGCTCTAATTTGTAAAACAACGTCCATCTCAGTCTTACGTCCTACCAACAGCTGAAAATTTCTATCGATAGAAACTCAAAGCAGCGCAAAAGTCCTTTTATTTGTCAGGTGTTTCCGCGGATGATGCGCGCGCATTCGCTATCGAATATACGGATTTTATCGATCGCGCGGATCTGCCGCAGTTCCTACGTCCGGTTAAAGGGATTCTTCGAAGGGATAGATCGCCGTCCGGCGTCAAACAATTAAGGACTGACTTACGCGCGGCGTTAAAAAGAACGAAAACAAGTTAGCGGTCGCTGCCCTCCTGCCACGGCTCTTGTGCATCAGATAATGCGGCGCACTGTCATCTCGGAAGAATTTACCGGCGACGTTGCCGGGGCCCCCGTGAACCCCCTCCGCTTATGTACGTGGCGCAGCCGGCAGCCGAGATCGCCTATCGCGCGCGGCGAATCGCGTCTCTTCGCGCGCGCGCGCGTGCGATTTCCCGTGAAAATGCACCGGCGGCGCATCTCACAAACGCGTCGCCACCGAGATCGTCGTCACAAAGCGCAGATCCGTGACGCATCTCGATCGCGATTCGAATATTTATCAAAAGCGCATCTCGCGAGAGATAAACATTTTTGAATGTTATATAAATTTCGAAATTTTGATTGTCCCTTTCTCGTTGTGTGGCTGCTTTCTTTTCCGGGACGACAATAACTAAACCTGCCTACGAGACGACGAACTTACCAACGGAAGCTGCTTTATGACTCGCCAGAAGGCACAAAAACACGTCATTATTTTCGGGGATCGCGTTTCGGGGAAGTAGGTGCTGGCGAAGGTAATTGCGACTTTCACGACCGAGTCCCGATATGAGTAAACGTTCGATATGCACGTAACACACCGATATGTGTGTCTACTTGTCCGAACATAAAACGGAACAATAATTCGAGACGAAAGTCATCGTGAAAGTGGCCGAAAAACGACTTCCATTCATGAGAAGAGTTTCGCGATCACGCGAGGAGACACAGAGTTGCTCGGACGTCCATTTTTTTTTTTTTTTAGGAACATGCGAGAAGAGATTTCTTTTTTTCCATCAAGAAGAAAAAAAAAGTAAAGCGCGAGGTGACACGCGCGATCATCTTCCACGCGCGCGATTGAAATCGAATTAAAGCGAAGTATACTTACCGGGCATGCAAACACATCGAAACGTGCCAGGATCGTCTAGGCACGAGCCGTCGTTCTGGCAGGGATGAGACTCGCATTCGTTGACGTTCGTTTCGCATCTGGGTCCTGTGAAACCTTGAGAACAGTTGCAAGCGAACGATCCGGGAGTGTTGACGCAGATTCCGTCGTGTTCGCACGGGGATCCTGCAGACACAGAAGAAAGATATGTCGTTTAACATCACACAGTCTCAAAATATATGCGCAATAAAATCGGATAAAAAGCACACGAGTACGTAAAAAAACGTTCGACGAGTTCTGCTTCGATTCTCGGCTCGAAGTTACATAAAGGAAAATTATTTCTCGCATGTCATGCGATATATGTGGCAAGTTAATGCAAAATGCGATGAAAAACACATATAAACGTATTTAACTTGTTGCAGATACGTTTCGTAATTGTTAATGAGCGATATAAAAGCGGGATCTCTTCGACGTATACTTTGATTCGTTGTCGTGAGAAACTACACACACATAGGTATCACGCAATCTCTCGGTGTAATTGACCGACAAGATACTTCGATGGGAACTTAAATTTTGTGGGTCACAATTTTTTTACGAGGTTTCGCGGTGAAAGTTCATCCGGTTTCGGAGACATGTCCGCTCGCTCTGACCATTTTGGGTGAGACTCTTTCTTTTTGATTCTTTTTTTTTCTTTCTTTTCCGAGACGAGAAAAGAAAAAACGCCATGCTATGCGGAACGACTTTTCGCGCTGTTCGTTTCCCGGTATCGATGATTTGAGATCGCGACAAAACGGCGAGCGCGCGCGGCTCGCATGGCAATTAATAGCTGAATACGGGAAGAGAGGCCTCGATACGTTCGTGTGTGTACGGGGCGCATCTGGACCAAGCGGTAAAGGAACAAACGCCAAGCATAGTGCTCCTTAATTGGCGAACTCGGCAGCGCTTTTTAGATGCCGCCATTAGGACGAGAAGGGGGAGAGAGAGAGAGAGAAAGAGCGAGTACTTCCTATACCCGGCTAGCGCGGACCATAAGAAGAAGCTGGTAGAGAGCATTCTTGAAACACCGACGACAACAACGTCCTTCGTTTTGAAGGAGATCGCGCGCGCTTTGCTTCGCGAAAACACACACTCGTTTCTCTCTCCTCACGCAGGCCCTCCTCTAATTGCAATGAGATAATTGCCGCGAACGCAACTCGCCCCAACTGGCGTGTCTCGCCAAATGAGACGCTTCGTCAGAAAACGGTTTTCTCTCTTCGTTACTCAGTATCTCTTCTCCTCGTTTTGCATTTGTGTTGCAAATTTTCTGTTTTGTTTTTCGATACGTTTTTAAATACATTTAATCAACGTGTTAAAACACTGACATCGCCCGCCAAATAAAGAAAAAACGATAAAACGAACCCGCGCACACACAGAGACGGAGAAAGACTTGTACTCGCGCGTAATTCGCCGGTAAAGCTTTTTTCCGACTTTAAGTTGCGGTAATTGCCGTAACCGCGGTCGCAATAACGAGAGAGAAATAAGAGAGGGTGCGTTGAAGAAAATAGCGCGATAAAAAGGAATTGTACGTACGTGTGTCGCGATCGCGCAAGAAACGCATTGCTGCGCCGTGTTCGCGGCGCAAGAAGAAGATGACGAATCGCTCTCTCGGAGAATGTCGTTCTCGCGAGAGAGCGCGCGTTTGAGCGAGCAATGAAAAACCGTCGCGGAGCGATGTTTGCAAGCATACGACATTTACCGTCTCTCAGTCGTTGTTGTATCTCTTCTTGATGATTGTTGTATCTCTTCTCGACCTGACCCGCTCGGTCCTTGATCCGCTCCGGCGTTCGAACTAGAATCGCCAAGCATCTTCGAACGTTTTTAATTCGCACTTTTCGCCGCGAGCGGAAACTAAACGGGTCTCGTTTCGCAAGATCATTTTATCGCACAGCGGGCTCAAACGATCCAAAACTTGTGCGGATCGGTTTCTCGACTATTATGTACGTCGATCCCGACTACAAGAGTGTTTACATTTTTCAAGGATAGAGTTGGAAACGTGTTGTTGTTGTTATCTGCGCTTTCCACGCCTGCGGAGTATTATTTGCGCGTTATCGCATGCTGAGACGAAGCTCTCCGATGCGTCAATTTTCAAACATCGGAATGTAATTCCGATGTTCCGGAATAATTTGGAAGATTCTCTGAGAAAACAACGCGCGTAATTGGTCTCCGGCAGCGCGTCGCGCTGCAACATACACGAACTTCCCCGGCGGCTCGTCCGAGAGAGAGGCTTCTTCCTCGCGCGCTTCGGGAGCGCGCACACAGATCTCTCGGTTAAGGAACTTAATCTACCAGAAAATATGCAATCTAGATAATAACAGAGCCCCGGCTCGGGTGCGAGATCATTATGGTTGTTATTAAACTTAAAATAACAATTTAGCGTTTAATTAGATTCGTTCGTGGGGGCCCCCGTGCCTCACACACCGTGGAGGCACCCCTCTGAGAGCAGCGCGCTTCTGTACGAACGAACAACGTTGAGAGACCGAAAGGTCCCTCTCCAATCTCTCTTGCTCCTTCATCGACGCGGCTTCCGGCAAAATCTCATTACACGGCGCGCTGTCGTTGCGCGTCAACCGTGTCGCCGAATTGCCGCTGCGCAAGACGGCAGCTCCAACTGCGCGAATACAAATTTTAACCTCCTGGAATCGCGCTCTTCGAACGCCACGTCACCCACTTGCGAGTTTTTTTTATTCAGATAAAACAAATTTTACGATCAGAATTTGCAAGAAATTGTTCGTTATTATTTCCTTGATGATAACATAATTTAAATATATATTGCACAAAACTAATGATTTGAATCTCGCAGGAACCATGTACGATTTCTATTGGGCGTTCAACGTGTTAATTTGTATTTTAATATAATCTCTTATTAATATTTTTTTTTTAATGTTTCTAAAATATATTTTTTATACTCTTTGAAGAAAATAAAAACGCATGATTATACGTGTAAAAAAATTTTTCAACCATACATCTTCGGAAATGTAATCTCTCATTACTATGCAAAGTTGCGCTCAAATTTGACCGTCCGCTTTTGGTCGATTTGCGCATCGCTTCAAATCGATTCGAGGTGTGCCCCGAGAAATTTGTTCCCGAGGTCTAATTAAAGTGTCCGCGAAACACGTGGGCGATAAGAAAAAAATGGTGGCGGGACCGGAGGTAGCGCCGCAATTATATCGAAGTCCGGTTAGTTCGGCGACTTAATAAACCTGCCGATTAAACGGACCGCCCGCGTTTCGCGACCGCCCTCTCGAACGCGTCCGGAAAGTAAAATAATCGAAGGACGAGCCGAAACGAGCGAACGAACATTCAATTTCATTGACTTATCGCGTCGGGTATTGCGCACACCGCCTCGAATTAAAGCGTAACAAGCACACGCGGAACGCGTTAAGGCGTTTCCTTCGTGCGCGAAGTCGTAAATGTTCAATCGTCGCGTAAGTTACACCGCGCCGATCGTTTGACAAGCGTGGCCGCGAGGAATCGGCGATCCTCCCGATCTCCGACGGAAAAATGAGTCGCGCTTGAAAACAGAGCGATTATCGTCATCGCGGGACGAACCACTTTAACACCGAACAGCCGATAATTACGCCCGGTAGCCATTAATAAACTAATCCACGGATATTTCTTACCAAGCGAGTAAAAAGAATCCGACGAACTCGCTTTTATCAGCCTTCAGAATCTCCGATTGCCCACGGCAATCGTCAGAGGAAGAGACGGATGACGCGCGCGAGAGAGGAGAGCGGAGGTCCGATCTGCGGGATTTAATGACTTGTGGTATTAAACGGCCGGGGAGGAGAAAAAAAAGGGGGATAAATGAGATGAGGTGGGTCTGAAGTCCCGGGCTAATCACCGGCGATATTAATGCGCGCGGTACAAAGAATGCGGCGAAAACCATGTTCTCCTCTTGCGAGAGTTCGGCCCGTTCCGTCTCTCGATCCCGATGAGTTAAAAAAAAAAAAAAAAAAACAAAAAAACAAAAAACAAAAAACGTGCGCGCAACGGCGCGTCATGCGTTAATTGAATCATTCGTTCTCGCGATCGCAGAATCCGCAATGTATCTGTCGCTTGACGACGTTTTTGAATAATGAGTTCGACGTAACAGCGACTCGAAATCTCGTGCAGAGAGATTTTATTTATTGTACAAATTCATCTCGTTTGAAATTGTTGCAACAAAACGACACGATATACGAACACGCGCGATCCAATGTAATTCGGTTTCTCCCGAACGAGAATATAATTCTCCGATGGACGATTTTTGTGAAAACATCCCCGGAGCGGAAGCGATAAATCGATAATAACGCTGTCGCAAATCGACGGACGCGCGCGAAAGAACGAAAATGATGCGAAAGCCAAGCCGATTACGGCCGATGGGAAGAAGGGGGAGAAGGGTAGTTCGCCCTTTATCATCGCGGGCACGACGCTAAGCCACGACTGTAGTATACGGTAATTTGCCGATAATTTCTCGAATCGCGTTTCTCGCGCACAAGTGAATAATCGCGTGCCCCCGAAGCGAAAAGCAGCCGAAGGTCTACGCGAAAAGATCGCTAGAGAGAGAGAGAGAGAGAGAGAGAGAGAGAGAGAGAGAGAGAGAGAGAGAGAGAGAGAGNAGAGAGAGAGAGAGAGAGAGAGAGAGAGAGAGAGAGAGAGAGAGAGAGAGAGAGAGAAGATCCGCCCGAGGAAAGAGAGAGAGGCTGTCTTTGAGTAATGTCTTCCTAATTACGATGCGCGCGAAACGTGGAACGACCCAAGGGCGACGCGGAAAAGAAAAACGCGGATTCTCTAATTCATCGTTCAATCGTGGAGCAAAAACGCACTGCGAGTCGAAAGGCGAGGTGCGCCATATTTCAAGCGCGATACGTCACGTGTGCCGCGTTTGTATGTATTGAAGAGATTAGTCACAGCGCGAATAATCTTTCCGTTGCGTTTTCAGCCGCGTCGTCGTATTTGTTTAAATTCGACACTTTCGAAACGCGCTGATTTGTCCCGAACTTCGGATTTCGATTCGGAAACGTCGCGAGAAATCATCTCTCGCGGCGATAAGTGGCGCTGAAACACGCGATGCGATAATTCTCGTAACATCTAGGTTTTTATTAATCTACGTATTTTTTTGCGTGTTATACTAATCGAAATAAATTACGATCATATAATCATCTCGAGTTTCCGTCTGCGTAGAAAAAAAAGATTTGCTGGAACATTTGCAAGAAATTGTATAGCAAACTTTTTTTGCTTGCCGTATAAAGTTTAACTATTAATTTTACTGACGAAATAAAAACATTCAGTAGACTCGACAAATGTTTCTTGCTGACCTCACACGCAAAACTTTTTTTTCCGCGGTAATTATTACGATTATTACCTGGTGCGTACGAGACAATCGCGCGTTTTCGGAGCGCGCGCCAATCAACCGGTCGAGACAAGCGAGACAGTTGTAAAGCGCTCAACCCCGAAATCCAATTAATTCCGTGACGGTTGATTAACGAACGGCTACTAATGCGAGGAGGAAATTCGCCGCGCGCGAGAGGCGTTTCGTTTCTCTCGCGCGCAGAGCGCGATTGTTGTTGCATCGCGAAGATGCTCGTGGACACAAAAGACTGTGCTTTCGATTATTAATGAAGTGTCTTTGTCTGGAACGAAACGTATTAACCGCCATGCTTGCGAACGATGCTCCGCGTATTTATTACGGCATACACCGGGGGAAGGAGAAACTTTTATTCGGAGCAGCCGTTATATTTCCAGCGCGTTCGCCATTCGTACAAATGAGTTCGCATTCCTATCAGTCAGCTGCGATCGCGACAATTTGCAATAATTCGCGATACGATCGCGCGACGTTCGCGATTTCGTTCGCGCGATTCGCACAATGTCGTCTCCGTTTTTTGCGTTTATTTTATATTATTTGCTCCGCAAACAAAATCAGCTAAGAAAGACTGATTGCGACACGCGCAAATAATCTTTCGGACGATATTTGAAATCTCTCAAAGAACATCGCACATCCTGCGTTTCTGTTTCTCCTACGCCCGGCGAGATGACGTGTTCGAGATTGATCGAGAATTTCGTGGTGAAAGTCAAATCAATCCTCCTGAATGACATTGTTAGATAAGGTGCTCACAGACGGGTGCGTGCGCTCGCCAAAGGAATCGACAAGGTGTGTGGGCCCCATGCCGCGCACGATCCTCTCAACCGGACTATTAATTAACCCACGACTACTGCCTGTCCACCGGTTAATTACAAACCCATTACCGACGTGTATTACGTTGCCGAACGGGCGCTCAATCTCTCTCTATGATTTCGCGTCTGCTTCGAGAAATGTCCGCGTCTGCTCGCGTCAACTTAATGACGTCACAAGCAAACGAAAAACAAAAGCCTTGTGTATTATTAATCTATTTGTATTTTATATTCTTTTTATTATATTTTTTATGTCATTAATCCACTACTTACCAAACTCGTTTACAATTTATTTCAATAATTTCCAAGTTCCATAAACAAATATTTTCTCGTTGCGTTGTTTTTACGCGTGTAATTGTGCGGATAATTGCAATAATTACATTTTTTTTTAATTCAAAATATTGCCCGCAATTAATCGCGACTTTGCGAGCAAATACGCGAATGTTCGTCAATTATACAAAGAAGTTCGTGTCCCGAGAGAGATGATTGCTGGCGAAAAAAAAAAGTCTCGATAAATTCCCGCGCGATCATTAATTATCGCCGTGGAATTATTAATAATCGTTGTCGTCTTGGCAGCGGGGACTCCCTCGCGATACATCACGCGAAACCCACCAATCATAGGTCGCATATCACAGTCGCATACGCGGCGAAGGAAAGAGGAACGGACTCGGAATGACAAGTTCGCCCGCAGCTACGAGATCGAGAAAGGAACGGGAGAAGAAAATTGGATACATCGTGCGCCGCTATCGAGGGATCGGTGTTGCTTCCCCCGCGGACGACACACATGCGTAATCGGATCGTAACCCCGAGCAGTATAAATAACGCGCGTTTCTCGGTCGGGATCTAAATTCTAAGTCGTTAATCATCCGACGTTCCCGATAACTATTGCGCGCGTATTTGTTTAACGGTTCTTTTTAATCTCTCGAACTCGATATTTTCCCGAGATCTTTTACAGACATTTCTTTAAAATTTCGCAAATTTTTAATAATAATTTTGAATATTACTTTGCTGATGTTGCTGCGCTTAATAAAGCTTTATTATTTTTTATTATTGTTATTATTATAATTGCTAAAATTATTGAGAGAGAAAAAATGCTTCGGTAGCTGCGAAATGATTGCTTTAAAATTGACCTCACACACAGAAAAAGGAGGGGAGGGAGCAGAGAGGCTTGTGTTTATCATTTACGCGTTACTGTTATGAACCCGTAACGCGTGTTTGATTAAAGCTTCTCGAACGGTGATAGATCGATCACGAGTCCCGATGACGAGAACGTCGACGGCGCGATGAGAGAGAGAGAGAGAACGCGCGGTGCAACAAATAAGTCGCGGGGAGATGCAGCGCCGAATTAATCGATCGTAATCGATCGATCCGCCGTCCGCCGTCGATATCTCGAGCCCCGTAGTGTGGGTTTTCAATTTGCGCGGACCGTAGGGGCCTCTCTTATTCGTACACACGCGGGATCGCGCGCACATTCAATCCGCCGATTACTCCAAAGTCGACCCTACGGCCGCAACCGGATCTCGCCGTTATCTCATCTGGAAAATCTTCCGCGCCGCATATCGAGAGGCATCACTTTATTTTCTTCACTTCCCAATACTGACGCGATTATTTTTTCTTCCTCCTCGACGAGTGTGCGATTAATTCGTCATTCGAGCGTTTGTGTGTTTCCGTACGTGTAACTCTCGATCTGTCGGACCGATAGGCGTCGGTAATCAATTGACGACTCAAAATCGACGAATAAAAAAATTGACACGTACACGGCGCTGTTGATCGCCGTGATTGTACAATATACGCGCGCGACGTGAAATTCGGCTTCCGTTTTTTATTTACCGGAGTCATTAACATTGCTAACGAAGAATATTCACGAATCCCGCTCCATTCCTCGCTTTAATCCTCCGCGGAGAGGGAGAGAGAGAGAGATGGAAGAAGTCGTTCGCGTGTCCTCGATTGGCTCGCAATTACCATACTGCCCACGCTACCGATGCAGCGACGTTTAACACGCAGAGATCGTGCGAGGTGAACAGGCAGACACACAATCGAATCGAACGAACATACGTGATCAGAAGAAAATATCACGCGGCGCGATGACCTCTTCGAGAGGCGGCGAGACTCGCGTCGCGCTCGATCTCCAGTCGTCTCCAGTCCACTTAAAATTGTTTTCGATCGCAATAACGTGGTAATTTCGCGTGATAAAAAATCGTTCCGAATTAAAGTAAAATAAAATAAAAAAAGAAAAAAAAATAAAAATAAAAATAAAATAAAATACGACATACGATTTCACAAGTGTAGTTTGTTTCTCTTTCATTCACAGACATGATGAATAAATATTCATGAAGCTGAGATTAAAATATTTCTAGTGTGAGAAATTTGTTTTAGCGACGATTCGCTTCTGCATAGTTTTTGTTTAAAAAGAACGCAAATTAAACTCGTTTTTTCTCACGTATTTTTAAAAGAGTTACTCGTCAGTTACTCGTCGTGCCGATTTATTGTTTTCTTCGAACGACTTGAATATCCTTGAGATTTTTGTCAATCGATCGCGTGGGCGAACGCGCCCGATTGGTATTGCTGCGTTTTTTCAATTCGTTCATTAATAATCGCGCCGATCGTGCAATCACGCTCGTTACTTTCTCGATTTAAACGGAGATTGTCTTCGAAACGCGCGATTTAATAGGTGGCCGAAATGAAACGGTCGATCTAAAAGTGATTTTCGTAGAGTCGCGATTGCGAGCAATTGTACACAGCGGCTCGTACCGTCGACTAAAAAGATTCATCCTTGCCAAATTTATCTCCGCGTAATCGACAATTATGCAAACTTTGCTTGAATTCCTCCTCGCTTTGCGCAACGTCATTCAAACAAAACTTTGCAAATCCATTAAAAACAATTGAGATCTACAAAGGAAAAAGTCTTTCTCACCTTGTTCGCACTCGTCGATGTCCTCGGAGCAGTTCAATCCTTTGTATCCGATGGCGCAGGAGCAGGTGAAAGATCCGTTGATGGGACTCGTGTCGCAAATAGCGCCCTCGTGGCACGGATTTGACGTGCACGCGTCGTCAAGATGACAAAGCAAGCCTGCAAAACAAAAACATTTTTTCTCTCTCACATCTTATTCGCGAATTCAAACAAACAAATCGTACTTTTTATTTTGAAAATTGTTGTTGTGAAAAAAAAAAGAAACAAGATTTTAATATTCAGATTTTGTCTCGTCGATCTCTTGAGCAAAATAAACGGGAATAAACTACAGCACGACGCGATATCTAAAACGGACGATGTTCTTCGATCTACAATGGATTACGCAGCGATGCAAATTATTGCGGACCTAATTGAGGAAATTGCCGTAAACACGGGAGGACAATCTAAAATTGAGAAAGCTGGCCGGAGGACGTAATTTTCCTTGGGAAGCGGCTCGCGTGTGTGCGGGACGAAACTTTTCTTCACGAAGACCTTCCTTCGGTAACGGTACTGAGAGAAGACGAAGAATATCCTCGGGACATTTCATATATAAACCAGAGTAAGCGCATGCAAGATGCGCCCGCCCGCGCGGACTAACTGTAAGCGCATCTCGTCGCATTCGCCGAGCTGAAAGCACGCCCGAAGACAACAACGCGCAAAAGACGACCATTTACGTTCGCGGTCGTAAAACGTCCGGGGACGTTTTCCAGGAACAGCGCGGGGAAAGAAATATGTCTGTATTTGGCAATTGACGCGAGCGCGCTAGAATCGATGATCTGAAAACCATCTCGCAGTTTGTTCCGCGGCAGTGGATAAGAACAGAAACTTGTTTCCAAGGTCGATACACACGCGGCGAGAGAACAACCCCGGAGAGGAAAGAGAAAGAGGGAGAGAGAGAGAGAGAGCACCGGGAGTCTTCGGAATCTCGGGATTCCGACGGACCCGTTTTCTATACGCTCTATACGCGGCAGAGGCGCGTCATACCGCGGCGCGGACCCGCACGTGTGTGCTGCACCTGCCGATGCACATCGCGAATCTTGTTTTCCGACCATACGCGGTATCGAGTTAATCACCTTTTACTCGCGGGATATACGCGACCTCGCCTCGAAGCGAGCTGGAAGGGAAGAGAAATTCAACAACGTATATTTCTTTTCCTTTTTTTTTCTCTCTGTCTCGCGCGACCGAGGAAGAATTTCTGACTTGCACAATATTTTTCAGACGATATTACGCGACGAACGATAAAACCCGTCGGAATTGGATGTAACGACCGGCTGCGATAAAACGCGCCACTGATACGAGAAGACCGCGACGTAAAAAATACACTTTAGATAGAGGGGTGCTCGCGAAGAGTCTCGAACCAATAAACTGATACGCGTAAATGTTGCCGCGGGTAATACTCGTGCTTTTAGCTCGAATTCAACGCAAGACGCAACCGTACATATATATATATCAACGAGTAAAGATATCACGGAGTTTGTTAAATAACGGAGAGATTATTGGAGAATTTTCTTTCAAAACTTTGTAAAACTCTGGTCTCTCTTGTTAAATTGAAGAATCTCGATTGCGATAGTTTTTTATGAACTTTCAGACCGCCGGCATGATGCCGTATGGCATCCCGTTAATATTATACCGTATTTTAGAAAAGAGTTCTCTTTCATCTGACTTGATTTGTGAGAAAATCTAAATATGTTGTTAAATGGTGTAGTTTAGCTTTCGAATTCGCCGTAATCTGAGATACAAAATTTATTTACACATGATTAGCTTAGTAATAATGCTACTATATTGAAAGACTTTTGCAATTCGATTTCAAAAACGATATGAAACCACCAGCGATATGAAAAATCCTTAGAAACACCATTTTTTTAAATTTGAAAATGTGAAACTTCTCACTTCCGTTGCCTGTCAGCCTGGCGCCAATCGGAGCCAGATGAAACTTAGGGCACACTCCACGCAATATAACATTCAATTTATATACAAATATGACGAACAAAATACCATGTTTTTAATGAAAAAATGCCGGCGGTCTAAAGGTTATTAAAAATAGTTTCTAAGAAAAGCGTATCTAATAAAACAAACAATATCGATATTTTGTCCAAGAATTGCGCGTTTTTTTCCCGATCGATTTCTTCGCAGCAACGAAAAAGCTTGTAACCTTGCTTGTAAACTTACCAGTCTTTCCGTACGTGCACTGACAGTAGAAGCTGCCGACGCGATCGATGCAGGTAGCGCCGTTGAAGCAGGCTGCACCTGCACAGTCATCGATGTTGACGCTGCAATCGGGCCCGGTCCAACCGTTCACGCATATGCAAGAGTAGCTGCCGTGCGAATTCGTGCACGTAGCGCCGTTGTGGCACAAGGACGGTCGTACCGAGCACTCGTCGACATCGAGCTCGCATTGCGGACCGGTGAAGGACGGCGGACACAGACACGAATACTCGTTCACCCGGTCCATACAGGTGGCGCCATTTTGACAAAGGTTGCCCGGACAGTCGTCGATGTTCTCGTCGCAATGATGACCTCGAAATCCTGAAACACAAATATCACGCACCAACCGTTACCAATGTCACACTGCATCATTCGCGCGATCGAAGATAAAACATTGAGTTGTCTTCGTGAAGAAATACATAGTTAAAGGCGCAACGAGATTCACACGTGTATAACGTTAAATAATTCACATATGTATATTAGGATTATATTAATGGGAGTGAGAGATAATGAAGATCTTATTAAAGATAACGATAATACGATGTTACACGGACGATTTAAATAATTGAGGTACGTTCCGTCTCTCTCTCTCTCGGTCTAACGATCGTACGCGTAACTCTCATCGTAATTCGCTTGTACCGCCCGCTTGAACGCATCCGCGATGCTCGAACGCATTTGCATATGTAGCTGCGATCGGGCGAAGATAATCGCGACGCTATTAATAATCGTAATCGAGAGTCGCGACGATATTTTCCAATCTACGTCTAACGGGAGGACCGGACCGGCGCGGCGGCGGAAAGAAAAGCACGAAGGTGTGTGTGTGTGTGTGTGTATGTGTATGCGTCGCAGCAACGACGTGTCGGCACGACGATGATGATCGTGGCACGGTTATAAAGGGGAACTCATTACCGCAACACGTTCACCAGCGTGAAAAATCGAGACGCGTCGCGCCGATACACGTCGTCGAACGTCGGGTTTTACCACTTCTGTGAATTTATGCCTCGATCGATCAAAGACGGGAGGGTTAAAAGAAGAGATCGGGTCCGCTGGCACGTCGCGGGATGAAGCGATAGGGTCCGATAACCGTGAAATCGTCGCTTCGCCGCGACGAGACGGATTTCTTCCGGTCGCGCGAGAAAAAAAACCGGTACGCAAATAGAGGCGGAAATCATCCGAGAGACCATGTCGCTTTGTTTACGCGGGAATTTTTGCGAAAGGATGCGCGGTTTCGTGATGTGATATCGCGCGCAGTAACGATTTATTTTTTTATTTTTTTTTTTTTATTATCCGGATCAAAAATCAAATAAAAAAAAAAAACATTTGTACAACATGTACAATTACATGACACCGTGTCATTAAATAGGAATTCGATCCTTTCGATTTGGAATTAATCAACAGACGTGGCTCTTGTGTCTCGGTGTAAGAAAGGTGAAAGATCGATGATGGATCGATGGTCGATCCCGACCTTGCACGACGTTCGATTATCCGCGCGTCATGGAGCTTTATTCGCTCGCCGTGCTCGTTTTCCGCTCTCGTTTCTGCCGAGCAAAATAAACATTCGGACACGCGATGACTAATGGATTCGGGATGGATTGTGGTCGCAACCAACTCCGAAGTTTTGCATTACACGTGTGTTATACGCGAAGCGATGTTATTTGTTAAGTAAATTGCTGCCTTACATCGATTGAGTGTAACAATTATGGATGAGGGACGAACGCGAGCCAGTCTCTCTCTCTCTCTCCCTATCTCTCTCGTTTTAATTGAGCTATCTGTTGCGATTGTCAAGGAGGTAACTTTGTGCACACACGAAACCGTGTATCTATCTTTCCTTGAGGATACTCGATCTCCGCACGGCACAGGTCTGCCACAAAAGTCGCGATAACGAGATCGCGCGGAGGGACAAACGAGCGCGGCGCGGCTTACACGCCGAGATAAGACGCTACCTTCGTAATTACGTAGCGATACCGAAGAACGACGACGATCGGTAGCTATACCCAGTGGCCCTTGAACACGCGAGCAGACATCAAAGGAAAACAAGACCGCAAACAGAAAGTGATAACGTCGACCTAATAGAAGCAATTACCGCGCGACAACAACGTGTTGCGACGTGAGGTTTGATATTATTTCGATTATTTGCCCGGCCTCTGCTTTTATTTTGTTTCATCGCGAAACATTACCTCGCGCGATACCGCTAATTACCGCTGCGAGAACACGCATCAATAACAATTGGCGCGTTCGCCGCGGCATTAAAGAAACTACTTATCTAAAGACGATATCTACGCACCCCTTATTGGGATGTAAAAAAAAAAAAAAAACATATTTTTTACATTTACGTCGGTGAAAAAAGTGCACAGAAACATCAATTGCTGGAAAAAAATGTTACCTATCACCCGCTATCACTTAATTTGGATAATGGACGTCGGTGCTTGTTAGAGGATGCGAGCGTTTCTCTTTACATCTCGCGTAGTCTGTGGACAATTTATTGCGGCAAGATAAATACGTGTAGAGACGAATTAAAACGACCCTAGATATTCATTATGGAATGATTATACGTGGAACAAAATGGCCACCAGAGAGAGAGAAAGAGAGAAACAGAGAGAGAAGGAGAAAAAGAGGAAATCCGGGTACATTCTGTGTACATCTTGACCGATATAAGAAGCACAACTTTGTGTGTGTGTGTGTCTCTCTCTCTCTCTCCCTCTCTTTCTCTCTCGCTTTCTCTGTTTCTCTTCCCTGCTGTAACATCCGCCCTTATCTGACGGTATCAGCTGTTGCCCGGTGATACATACCTGGTCATGGACCACAGTTAGCATCTAATGGCGCGCATAATTTATGCCTCATAGAACATCCGACTATGCTTCCCGCGGCTGTGTAGCACGACGACGACATGAGTTAGGGCCGCGGTGGCGGTAAAAACGGCGGGTCTGCACGTACCCGTAGGGTACCACGATGTTATTATACTAGAATCCCGCGAAAGATAACCGTGGCATTAATATTAAAGCGACGCGAAAAGCAAATCGATCGGCCATAGAGAGAGAGAAAGAGAGAGCCGTAGAGCGATTTGCGCGCGGCGATCTGTTTTAAAATCGTTTCAAAATTGCACACTTCTCGAAGAGAAAGGAACTCGAGTTCTTCCTATCTGAATAATGATCTCGATAATTCATACGACGGAAATGCAGGGTTACTGTGTTTCACAATAAATTTCTATACTCGGAAGATAATCATTATCTTGTCGATTTAACATATTTAGCGTGTGTGCGATAAAAATTGAAAAATCGACGTAGCAATCATGACGATTGAAAAATATAAGGTTTTTTTCTCCTATTATCTCATTTGTCGCTATTTCCGATTCACGACACGAGACCGTCGTTTTTACCAAAGAAGAATTTCCGGCGCGGTATCGATTTCTCGCAAGGTGTGCGCAGATGGTTCACACTCATGAAAGGTTTCGAGTCGGAATTTCGGTCGGGATTCGACCGAGAAACCTGATTGGAGCTTCTTCCCTTCTCAAATTACCATATTAGGGAGAATTGTTATTACGTTCATATTTTCTACGACGGAAGCTTCATAACTCGTAAACTCGATGTAATATCTTTTCCAGAGAGAGAGAGAGAGAAAGAGAGAGAGAGAGAGAGAGAGAGAGAGAGAGAGAAGAAAGACAGCATAAGAAAAGCAATACACGTAATAGTGTAATAAATATTTTGTTGCAAAAAAGAAAAGCATCGTAAAATCTAATACAGATCACTATTACTAGGGGGGGGGGAAAAAACCGGTTACATGCGCGACACGAGCTTGTGCGAGAGAGAAGAAAAAACATTTTTTTTCCTCGCGTGCATGTTCTCTCCCCGCCCTTGATAACGCAATTACAATATTTCGTTCGCTCGGAGATCTTTTTCCTCCGGGAACCGCGCTACAAGAACAAAATTGCAGCGGCTTCGCAATGGCATTTGCACATTCCCTTCCTCGTGACTGGATTTCCCCCGAGGTGCGTTTCTCCTCCTCTTCCTTGCGCGCCTCTCTCTCTCCCTCTCTCTCTCTCTCTCTTTCTCTCTCGTCCTCCGTTTCTTTCCTTCTGTCTTTGCGTTTCTTCCCGCGCGTCTTCAGCGAGATATTGGCTCCCAGGTTTTTGAGTGAGAGGGCATAATTAAACGGCGGGACATCAAACGTCCCGGCGTGCAACGGAATCTCATATTCCGTATCAAGTCGATCGATTCACAGCGATCGGTCGCGCTCACAGGGGAGGAGGAGGAGACTCTCGACCGTGACAGAAAAGGCGCGCGAGGACGAAAGATCCGAAAAACTGGAAGCCGCGTTGTTGCTACTCGAGAGGCGCATTCGAGGCTACCCTCCCCCCTCCGAGACCAAACGATTAGGCGGTAGTCATTGCGGGGACCACGGGGCGCGCGTTCGGCGCGACCAATCGATTCCTGCTAACATCGATACCAGCGGCGCGAGAACTAAAGCGAGACCGCGCCTCTTTTACTTGTAAGAATCGACCACGCGCGTATTTACACGTTCATTCGTTCCGCGCCTCTCGTACACACTCGCATCCTTTTTTACGCGCGTCACTTTTATTTTCCCGGCTCATCGTCTCCTAACGCGCTTCCGTCCGTCGAGCAGCCTTGAAATATCGGCAAGAAATCGACCGTTACCCCTTTGCCAGCCCCTCGTTTTTCGTCGATCGATCGAGCAAACAAGTTTCGTCCCTTTTTTTTTTTTTTTTTTAAAAACAACACAACCCAGCGAAGCGCAACGTTTCAAAAGAAACTTCCATTTAATATAATAATATTTAAAAACACAAATGTTCTTGCGTATTAATTATCTATTGGAAAAATTTCTTCGTAATATTTCGAATGTTTTCTTTCTCTCTCATCCCGCAAGACATACGTGCGTTAACCCGTATCATTCTCAGCGCTTGGTACTTATGAAAGGCTTGAGTCAAAGCTAATGACGCGAGTACTGATTTCCATAAGGTTGCGATCCTTCTTTTCTCGGAAATCAGCCAAACCCCCTCGGGGCGAAATATCGTGCAACGTAACGCAAAGGGTTCGATTGCAAAGTCAAGCGACCGGAGTGGGAACCGGAGGGAAAAGAGGCGCAGCGCGCCGCGGAGATGAAAGAAAACAGAAAGAGCAGCGCGCGAGGATCGGTTCGCGACGAACAGAAGGCACGTGGGTGCGTCGGACAAGGACGGAAAAGTCTCTGCCGCTTAATAAATCAACCTGGATGATGAACCCCCCTTCGTAATTGCAATTGTCCGTTGGACCTCACCCCAGATCAGAGCGATCGTCGTTACACGCGCGTGTATGCGCGCGTCGAGC